GGAGGTTTACCCCATCGAGATCTTCCTCTGCCTCCACAGCAACATGGAGAACGCCGTCACCACAAAGTTCAGCCGAACCGACAGCATACGTGAGTCCGTCCGTAGGTCTGTGTGTCGGCGAGGTTCACGTTTAATCGGCCTTTTCTCTCCCTAAAGACAAAAATGCTTCGTAGTTTAGTTACTTTCTCCGACTTTATAAACCACACTCGTCCAAACCTGCCGGCTGCCGCTGCATCCATGTCATCCAGGTCACATGCACAGGAGCGGCTTCACACCGCGTGACGCAACACAAACACAAACAAAGGCGGCAGACAGAGTTTGGAAACGAGTGAATAACCGCCTGGTAACAATGAGGCGATAAAGCTCAGGCTACACAACCTGTTCTCAACCAACTAGCTGTGAAGGGGAGCTGCTGTCAGTTCATTCAGAGGTTACCTGTTTAGGTAAGAAGGCGGGACCTGCTTTACATGTGAGCTCGTTTTCTTTTATTAATCAGATTCAGCACATTTGACAGCAGCAGCTGTGAAGATGTGTGATAAACACATACATACACTAATAAACTGCTTACAGTTACTTATTACTGAGGAACTGAAGCCTGTGAAAGTCTTTCTACAAACTAATGACTCAGAAAGATTTAAAGACTGAAACTGATGACATTCACTCATGAAGCTTCACCTGAGGACAGATTCCTCGGTCACCACATACAAAGTCGCGCTACGCTGCAGTTTGTTGGGTCGAAGCATTAATTAAAGGAAGTTTAACTTCCACGCCGTTACAGAGTTCTCGCATCAGTGTCAGTGCTGTGGTCTCTCTGTTTCACGAGCAGGAAGGGGCGGTTCATCACGAGCGTCGTGTTAACACGTGTTCGTCTTTATGTTAACAGGAAGCTGATGTCAGGGGCAGAATATGTTCCCCTGAGGGTTCACAAACAGCTGTTTCAAACACTGTGTGTGTGTGTGTGTGTGTGTGTGTGTGTGTGTGTGTGTGTAGATTCGATCCAGAGGGCGATGTGTCAGGCCTTCTCCGTACCTCCGGGCTCAGAGTGCCGCCTGTGGATGAAGAGTTCGGACAGCAGCTGCGAGCGTCTTAGGAACGTGCACATGAGCGTGCTGGACGCCTGCTTGAGCTCGGGGATGGTGAGCGTGACGCTACAGTCTTAACGTCGC